GTTGGTGAAAGGGCTGGAGGGAGGCAGCATGTCTGGCCTTGCAGTAATAGGCCTTGGGTTACTGCTGGTAATCCTGCCTTCCCCTTGTAGGGTTAGAGGAGGTCAGAACATGTGGCCTCCTTGTCGTTTTTGCAACCACCCAAAAAATTCACCTGGACCCCATTGTCCCTGCTTTCATTTATTCACGTTCTCTTCTAGTCCTCATCCATACAAGTACATCATTTTTACATGGTTGAATCATATCAAGGATACAATTTTGAGCTGTTTTTTCCTTCACTGAATCTTAAGCATTTTCGCATATTACTATAAAGACTTCATATCCATAAGAGCCAAAGTACAACCTTGAATCTATCCCACCTGATTTTAGAGACCATCTCAAGAATAGATTTGATGCATTGAACACTAATGACCAAAGACCAGATGAGTTGGGGATGACATCGTGGACATCACACATGAAAAAACCCACTGCCATCAAGTCAATTCTGATTCATAGTGACCCTTTAGGACAGAGTGGAATTGCCCCATAGGATATCCAAGACTGTAAATCTTTACGGAAGCAGGCTGCTTCATCTTTGTCCTGTAGAACGGCTGATGGGTTCAAACCATTGACCATTTTGATTAGCAGCTGAATGCTTTAACCATTACGCCACCAGAGCTCTTTGAAGAAAGCAAAAGATCACTAAAAGTACAAGACAGGAAAAGAAGAAAAGACCAAAATGGATGTCAGATTAGACTCTGAAGCTTGCTCTTGAATATAGAATCGCTAAAGCTAATGGAAGAGATGATGAAGTAACAGAGCTAAACAAAAGATTTCAAAGGGCAGCTTGGGAAGACAAAGTAAAGTATTATTATGATATGTGCAAAGATCTGGATATAGCAAACCAAAAGAGAAGAACACACTAGACAGTTCTTAAGCTGAAAGAACTGGAAAGAAAAAAAAAAAAAAAAAATCCAAGTCTCAAGTTGCAATATTGAAGGATTGTAGAATGGAGCAGGGTTGTGCAGTGTTCTGTTCTGTTGTGCATAGTATAGGATCACCAACTCGATGGCACCTAACAACAACAATATGTATGTATTTATATGTGTGGTAGCTAAGCTGTATGTCAACTTGGCTGGGCCTGGTTTTCAGAGGCTGGGCAGCTGGATATAGTTATTTCCTGTGATGAGACTGGTAATCAGCTTCATGGTGGAATCTACTGGAGCAGCTGAGTAGCAGCATCAGGGATGTGGTCTGCTTCCAGTATATAAGAAACAGCATTGAGAATAGTCTCTGCAGCTTTTGGCACGCTTGAATCCTGCATGTAGCCGAGTCGTCATTCAGCAGCTTACCGTATTGTCTGGCAATTTTGGGACTGTTAATGGAAGTGAATTAGTGGCCTGCCGGGTGGTTTGATAATTTTGGGACTGTGCCGTTTTACTTGTTGACTTTGGGTTCATCAGCCTCAGCATTTAGCAGCTGCCTGGGTGAAGAGATGCCTCCAGTGTCAGTGGGCCAGGAGCAAGAAGCAGAGCTGAAGCTGAAGGTTGAGGGGCTTTCACCCAGTTCCTGGAGCCTGGCATTTTGAACTTGGACCTCCAGGCTGCCAAACTGTAAGAGAATAAACTCCTGTTTGTTAAAG